CGTGCCACGTGTAGCCGCGAGCATGGAGTCCGAACTACCGGGGCTTTAACAATGGCGGCGCCCAGCAAGATGCAAATGAAGCCCGGGATATTTAAATCCTGGGCTTCATTTGCAACTTTGGATGACTACATTAACCACCCTAGTTCGAACTAGGGTGGTAGTGTAGACATACCCTGGGTTATTGGTGTTACGAGGTGAAAGGGGATTCAGGACCCTGGCCAGTGGCTGGAGGGTGCAGACCCCAGTAATTGGGGGCCTGCAGACCCAGCTCGGACGACACGGATGGTTCCAGCCAGCGGGAGGCCAATGGGCGGCAGAGAGAGGACCCAGTGACCTGCCCGGCTGGTTCCAGTCAGGGGAGCGGAGGAAGGAGGAGGGGCGAGGGGAGCAGAGAGGGGCTGGAATACGGGGGCTGCTGGACGGGGCAGAGGGCTCAGGCAGAGGCCCCCAGGCTGCAGGGCAGACTCAGACGTGCTGGCGGAGGGGGCCAGGCCCACAGGCCTGAGAGTTCCTGTGCTGGGTTCAATGCTCAATAAACCTCCTGTTTCACGCTGGCTAAGTCACTGCGGACTAGAGAACAGGGCTGCGCCGTCCCCTGGGAGTGCAGGCCCCGGGGCCCGGAGCGAGGGGACCCCCTGAGGGGCCCACGGCAGAGCCAGGCGGGCTGGAGCTCAGAGAGGTGGGGGAACGGGGGAGGGGCTCAGCCCCCAGGGGAGAGCGGATCCCCACGGAAGGGGGTTACCCCTGGGACCGCTGGGTGCCCTGTGAGTGTGACAGACAGCTCTGCCCAGCCCCTTCCCCGCTGCCTGGGCCTGTCCCTGCCCCGGAGTCGGACCCAGCGGGTGGGGGGCCGGGCTGGTACCGGGCGTGCAGGGCCAGGCTGAAGCGGGATGCGGCGCCCTCGCTGCACTCCTTCGGCTCCGTCTCCACCCGCAGCTCAAAGGTGGCGGCGCTCTTGGGGGGCGGCACATTGTAGCGCAGAATCAGCTGGGAGAAAAGTGAGAGGGTTGGGGCGGAGCCTGGCACCGTGGGGCCCAGCCGTGGGGCAGTCCCAGGGCACAGCCACTCACCGCCGGGCCCCAGGGGCTCCTGCCCTCACCTGCACGAAGACACAGCCGCTGCCGCTGGCCTGCACCGTGTACTGCCCGGGGATCTCCTGCAGGGCCGCTCGCTGCAGCTCCAGCCGGTTGGCGTTCTCCACGTGGAATTGCTGCCGGGCCCCGGCCGGGGAGCTCACGGTCACCGACACCGTCCCGCTCGCGCTGTACGTCAGGGCTGCGTATCTGGCCAGGGCCTGCAGGGCCACCACCGTGTTCTGGGGCAGGAGAGTCACCGAGGGGACAACAGGACCCCGCCTCCAACTCTCTGCAGCAGGATCGGGATTTGCCGGGATGCTGACAGAGACCTTGTAGAGATTCTCCTGCTTGCTGAGCCAGCGGGCGATCTGGGAGGCGGTCGCCAAGTCGGCAGCAGACACGTTGGGCAGGGAGAGATGGGCCAGCAGCACGTAAGCCGTCAGCTCCACCTCCACCATATGGTTCCGGTGGGACTCGGGGCTGGGCAGGCCCTTCACCTGCCTCCGCCAGTGGAGCTGTCCCCCTAGGAGAGGGGCCGAGGGAAGGGCAGCCCAGCCCATTAGAAATATTCGCTGTATTCTATCCACAACCCAAAATCCATCCCAGCCCCACCCCCAGGGAACAGGCCACATGCATTAGATGAGCGGCTGGTGGGGGAAGATCAAAGTGGAGACCCCATGGGATGCAATTGCCCAGCCTGCTTGTGCTCGGGATCACCTCTGGTAGAGGGGGACACTGGGCGCCGGAGTGCGGGGTCCTCGGGCAGGGGGCAGGAGGGGAGCAGGGCCTAGCTGAAGGGCCGAGGGAAGAGCCATCACCAGGGCAGGGGGCAGTGGGTGGGCAGGGCCGTGGGGGGCAGCCCTGCCCTGTGTCTGGAGGTCGCCGGGGGGAGGGCACTGGAGCGAGGCGCTGCGGTACCGGCGCTGACGCTGTGCTGGGCCAGGCTCTGCAGAAGGGCGTCCCGCAGCTCCGTGCGCCCCGCCAGCCCGAAGGCGTAGGCCAGCAGCGCCCGCGTGTAGAGGTCACTGGTGCGCGAGGACTCCTGGAGGCACTGGAGGACCCTGGTCACCGTGGGGTCCTGGGATGGGGGAGACACCCAACAGACGCCCCGTCAGGCTGAGCTGCCCAGGGGAAATGCCCCACGCCTGGGCGTGTTCCCCAGCTCCCAGCCCATGGACCCTCACAGCGCTCCACCTGCCAGCCAGTTCTCACCTGTCCCAGCCCGTCCCTGCCCCCGTCACCTGCACCGAGCACCCCCACAAGCCTCACCCAGGTTCCCCCACTGAGCTCTAGACACCAAACCAGCTCCGCCCC